CTGCACCTCAAATACTGTGTTCTGGTTTGAGCCCCTTGCTACAAGAAGGACATTAAGGTCCTGGAGTGTGTCCAAGGAAGGGCAATGAAGCTGGTGAGGGTCTGAAGAACAACTCTTATAAGGAGCAGCTGAGGGTACTAGGATTGTTTAGTCTGGAGAAGAGGAGGCTGAGGGGAGACGACTTAGTCTTTATGACTACCTGAAAGGAGGTTGTTGCAAGGTGGGGGTCAGTCTCTTCTCCCAGGTAACAAGCAACAGGATAAGAGGAAATTGCCTCAAGTTGCGCCAGGAGAGGGTTAGATTGACAAAAATTTATTTCCTGAAAGAGTGGTCAAACATTGGTTCAGGCTGCCCAGGGAAGTGGTGAAGTCACCATTTCTGGAGGCTTTCAAAGGGGAAAGTGTAGGGTACTGCATCTGGGGAAGAACAACCCCATGTATGGATGGGGGCTGACCTGCTAGAGAGCAGCTCAGGGGAAAAGGATCTGGAAGTCCTGGTGGGCAGCAGGCTGACCATGAGCCTGCGATGTGCCCTTGCAGCCAAAAAGGCCAATGGCATCCTGGGGTGCATTAAGAAGAGTGGCCAATAGATCAAGGGAGGTTATACTCCCACTCTACTCTGACCTGGTGAGGACACATCTGGAGTATTGTGTCCAATTATGGGCTCCCCAGTTCAAAAAGGACAAGGAACTACTGGAGAAAGTCCAGTAGAGAGCTACTAAGATGATGAGTGGACTGGAGCATCTCCCATATGAGGAAAGACAGAGAGCTGGGTCTGTTTAGCCTGGAAAGGAGGAGACTTAGAGGGGATATCATAAATGCTTATAAATACCTAAAGGGTGGGTGACAGGAGGATGGGACCAGACTCTTCTCAGTTGTGCCCGGCAATAAAACAAGGGGCAATGGTCACAAACTGGGACACAGGAGGTTCAAATTAATTGTAGGAGAAAAAAGAAACAAAACAAAAAACAAACAAAAAAAAAAAACAAAAAATAATCAAAACTTCTTTACTGCAAGGGTAACAGAGCACTGGACCAGGCTGCTCAGAGAGTTTGTGGAGTCTCCTCCTCTGGAGACATTCAAAACCCACCAGAATGTGATTTTGTGTGATCTTCTCTAGGTGATCCTGCTCTGGCAGAGGAGGGTTGGACTAGGATGATCTTTCGAGGTCCCTTCCAACCCCTACATTCTGTGATTTTTGCAAAAAAACTTATAGCTGTGGGACTTCAGGACATGGTTTAGTGGGTATGGTGGTGTTGAGTTGATGGTTGGACTTGATCTTAGAGGTCTTTTCCAGCCTTAATGATTCTTTGATTCTAAATGTATATCCACAAACTACAGTCAGTGGCTCTTCCTGAGGCATTTTGCAAAAAGGATGCTTGGAGATTTATCAGGTTTATTGCAATTTATTCCTTCTCCTGTGTAATTACATTACAAGAGCATTATACAGTAGTGCTAGTGTTGATTCATTTATCAGAAGAAAAGATCCCAACATAAGTATTAAATACTGAAGAGAAACAAAAAAGAATATGAAGTTCGTTTTTTATTGTTCCCCATTTTCAGAGTTGGTCTTGCAGTCAGAGGTGGTATCTTTGAATGGTTCTGCTTGGTGTTTACTTGCAAGCCGTGCTCTGTGATGTGTTTAACAGCAGAAGCTAAGTAGTAGCTGGGGAAAATTCCTATTCAGTGTTTTGGGATGGCGTCTTTCATCCATCCATTTCAGCTGGTAACACAATTTTACTCAAATATCAGTAAAATAGCAACACATTCTTTCATGTCACGAATGCTTTTCAAAATATTTTTAGAGGTTTCCAGTTGCATTTTGGCTGTGCAAATTCATATAGAGACAATGTTGGGGTTATTTTGATTGAAAAGTAAAAAAGAACTTCACAGAAATGTTTTACGTGGTGCAACCAGACAGTCTGGCAACCAGACTATTGCACTGAAAAGTTTTAATTCATATTTTCCTCAAGCAATTGTCAGTTAATATGCATTAAGTGTTTATGGATATGTCTGTTTATGATCTATTTTCTATTGTTTGTATGCATACATACATGCAAAATTTATAACGCCTGTGTTGGAGAACTCTAAAAAATTCTTAGTGAAGCAGTTTAAGAGGGTATTGTTTGAACAAAATTAGACTGTCTAAATTTTTTTTTAAAGAATTAAGTTGAAAAGCTTCTGTAGTACCAGTCACAATATGTTCTTGAAGCTTCCTAAAAACAATCAAACATGATAGAATTTTTTAATAAACATTTTTCAGTGGCTGCAGCTTAAACATTGCAACATTTTGCTAATGTTTGACAATGTGAAAGTGAAGTTAAGTTAGAAAGTTTGTTTCCTTTGCTCAAAGCAAAAAGTGTACGATAAATAGCACAAATATTTTTTAAAAAATTATTTTATTGAATCATGAGGTTATGAAGAATTTTCTGATGTTTATTTAAATGTTAAAAGAAAGTTTGTTAAAAATACAAGTGCAAAAGAAATTCCATTTTCTATCTATTTTAATGGACTAATGCTTCCAGAAATGTGATTATGTGAATTTCCAGACCTTTTATTTCTAAAAAAGTAAAAAAATACTAACTTTAAATTATAGTCATTGTAGCATGTAGTTTGTACTGAATATTTCCAATAGGCTTCATATCACACTGCTGGTGTTCTGGGAATCTGTTGTAAGTGTAATCTGTTAAATTCGTTACTTAGCTGTAAGCCTCTTAATTTGGGAAGCAATGTAAATACAAGTTAGGGGTTTTTTTTCATAGAAAAAGAGTTTCACATGTAATACCTCTTTAAAAACATTTTATTGGTTTGCTGAATGTAATTTGTAGGCAACGTCTGAACTGAAACTGCTTAGAGTATTTTAGTTTTTCACTACAGTGCATACTACGGTGAACACTGATTATACATATATATGATATATTAATATGTATGGTATAATCATACATATATGTTTATATATTGTTATTCACTACAGCGAATGCATGTCAGTAGGCTTTTGGAATTCACTATGTGATGGTAGTATTAAAAAGCCATACAAAAATATCTTTAGGAACTATGACCAGGCATAAGTGTTAACATTATTTACTTCCATGGTCATTTCAGTTTGTTGGTTGTAGATTCTTTAATATGAATTAAGCTATAGAATCTGTATTTCTCTGCTGTGCTATTGTGTTATGCATTTGTTTTCTTCAAAACTTCATGCAGGTTGAGATTCTTGTATTTTGTTTTAGTGGAAGAATGACACTGTTCAGGTACTTTTATATCACAATTTTAGATAACAAGTACTCATATTTTCTTTCTTTATACTATTTATATAGGCATGCTTATTGTACTCTTTACGTGGAAGATTTTCTAATCAAAGTTATCTCAAATTGTACTATCAGCTAACAAAAGCCTTGAAGACAGAGCAGTTTATAATGGCAGCTGTGGGCATGTTGGTGAAAGATAAGTAAGATTTTCAGGAATTTTTAGTGGCTTTGGGAACAAGATTTTTTATTTAAAAGAACACCACCACCTCAAAAACCCCAGGAGTTTTGGTGTGTTGTATATATCCAAATGCAACACATAAAGATAGGTTTATAAAACTGGGCTATATGTTTGAACTTATCAGTTTTGAGACACAGCAACGCGTAATTGAGGATAGTCCCAGGTTCTCATACAGAGTTGGTAAGGATAAACACTGTGGATTAATGCCTATGAATGTCAGCAGGTGGCTTCCCTGTTCTAGAAATCTAAGTTGATGATGCTGGATTTCATTTATGCATTGTGATGGATTTTTTCAATTATTCCATGGAATTGAATGCATAATTATTGGTTGCTTTGCATAGAGAGGACAAATATCATAAAGCAAGAAAATGTATTCAAACAAGTTAGTTACAGTGGTGTTAATCTGCAGGTATGAGGGTTGAGTGCTCATTTCATTGCTTAATATCATAAAAGTGTTGACATTTATTGTGACACCTGTTGCATGTCAGAAATGCAAACAATTTGTATTTTTAAACAGATAAGTTAAAGACTTATTAAGACCCATTAACTGCCATTTTTATTCAAATAAAATTTTGTTTCATACTTTCAGAGGGATGTGAGAGGTGGTGGATCCCTTTTAAAGTATTTAAAAGTATCACAGTACTATAAATTAATTTGGAATTAATTTTACACTTAAAAACCCCTTAAAATACTGTGAGTCTTCTGAGTGAATAGAAGAAACTCTTCAACCATGTGAGAAAAACAGTTAAGCATCATGACAGATAATTAAAACCATATTTTCCCAGAGATTACAGTATTGACTTAACCAAAATTCCTTCAGTTTTGTTTTTTGAACAGATTCATCTTGGCTTGTATTTCTGTAGTTTTTGGATTTGGGTGAAGGTAAAGTTGTCAATGCTGAACTTAAGAGGCTTTTGAGAGGAGA